GAGAGAGAGAGAGAGAGAGGAGGGCAGAGGGAGTGAGAAATACCGAGATACTGTCATCGTGAACCGCAAATTAAGAAGAGTCGCCAAAGATCAGCTTACAGCTGTACAGGGAATTACTATGGAACTTACAGAGTGTTCAGTCTCAGAGTATGGCTGAAAGTGCTCTCGTTCACATACTTCAGGCTGGTGTTGGTGATAATCCTGGGGGAAAATAAAGTCATGCTCTCAGTAAAATGAACTGAATCTTACTGTGTGACGCCTGTTGACATGCCAGTTATCTGGGCACAAACACAAACCTGGTCGCAGTACACTGGGATCTGATGCAATTTGCGGGGGAAAGGATTCTTGTCCTACGAACTTTGGTATTCAGAGAAACTGTCATGATGTTTAAGATTAGATGTTTAAACTGATGGTTTATTAGCCTGTTCAATTAATTGTTTGTTATATGTGTTGTTGGCAATTTATTTATTTATTCTTTGGGGGGGGCAGGGAGAGGAGATGCGAAATGTTAAATTATTAATCGTTTTTAGACAGTAATTCCATTGGGAGCAAATATCCAAAGCAGTCTACCCCTATGGTACCCTGGGCTGATTAGAAACTGCAAATAGAAGAAGCAGGCATGGCGATATTGTGGATTTAAAAAAAATTCTCCAAGAACATGAGTCCACACATCAATTGTTTTTCAGACCAAACAAAAGGAGGTCTCTGGGGACACCGACACATAGACATGACGCCACGAGCTTCATTTTACCCTCAGTTGAAAGTGTGATTTTTGAGTTAAAAATGAGGAAAACTCACCCTGTAGATGTGATCACAGACACGCCTTTGAACTTCTTAGGGAAATTCCCATCGTTAGCCCAGTTGGATATCATACTGGACTATTCTGCGGATAGCTGTTTTGAATCCTCAATACTGTTTTCTTGGAATTGGGTTGTTCGGGAAGTTTTTAAGATACTCAACCTGTTTGACACTGTCTAATCAGGGATGGGTGTTTGAACAAGATAGGTCTCTTAGATAGCTTTACAGCATTGAAAAGGGTTGTAGGCAGTATAAGGCTTCCCAGCTACAAATTGTTTTGATAATATTCCTCAGGAGAAGGATACTCACAGAACCTCCAGATGTTTATAGAACTGGATAGCTTCTCCGTCGAGTGACCGAAAGTGTGGTTGATTCTGGATGGCTCTGAAAGAGAAACGGGCTCAAAGTTATCAGGAAATTATAAACGCAGTACGTCAATGCGTATATCGTGATCTGGCCCACAAGCAATTTCAGTCCAGCCAGCGAGTCGAACCAGTAATTAATAATGAGTGTGGCCTGCCGTGCAGTGAGTTGATAATTGATAAAAACAAAACTGTCCGTCTTGAAAATTGAAACCAAATATTTTCCAACCTAGCTGGAAACACAAGATCTAATATCTTATTTCATTAAATGCTTTTGAATGGCGTACGCTATAGTGTGAGTTTTAGTCTCACTTTGGAAAGATTGGGCATTTTAATCGCTTTAATCAGATTTATCATGTTTTGGCTTGGGAAATATTCGGAATCGCGACTTGAACACGCTTGCCCATCTTCGACAGAACCCAAGTCCCGTCAAAGATATTTCCAGCTACTATCGGGCTCATAATGAAGTGAAAACCGCGGGTGATTCGTTCATCTTTACATGAAACCCGCTTACCGACCTCTTTGAAACAAAATATATGTAATAATAATAATAATAATAATAATAATAATAATAATAATAATAATAATAATAATAATAATAATAGTAATAGTAATATTAATAATAATAATAATAGTAATAGTATGTCAGTATTTCTAATATTAATCATGGAAATATAGTAATAAAGGAAGGAAAATAATCTAACCAGTGCTAATTTAGGGCCTGAAATGCTACATCATTCAGCACCCACATGGTATTATAGTTTACTGTTTGAGAGAAGCGTCACCTTTTCGCTGAAATTGTCAAAGACCACTATGTAAATTGTTGAGGAGAAAAGTGGTTGTCTTAGAAAGATGGACGTCTTAAACAGTGTGATTATGACATAATAGCTGGGGTACCCGTTCGACGAACGAAACAAGTACATGTAGAGTACAGGGTGATAAAAAACAAACAAACAAACAACTGTACAACTTTGTTTGTTAATATTTTCCCCCACACTGAAGTTTTGCATTTCAAATTTGGACACAACATTTGGAAGTCATTGGGAATTTGTCTGATATCCATTTCAGATAAATCCACAAAATAGTTTTGCTCTATATAGCGCGTAAACAACAACCCATTTTCTGCTATGTCCCCATTTTGGTAGCAAGACGCACTTGTTCGCATTAGGCCTACCACTAAGAATTCCATCGATTGTGCCATATTGCAAACTACAGTGAAGTCTAACAGGCCAACATAAGTTTGCAGACTGTTTTTTTTCATGTTTCCTTTGCCTGCTGAGATCATGGTTAAAGATTAGTAAAGAGCAGAGGGCTTATGAATTGAACATTTCTTCACCACCAACTCATTTCGTAAGTTTCGCACAAGATACGCAAATAATGTTAAAGTGCCCTTAGAGCCTTCTTTGATGTCAAGGGTGGAAATGGTCCTCCAGTTAAGATCTGTAGAGAATCAGAACAAAAAATTCCCTTATAAAACGACCACTTCAGGTAAAACACACACCGTTTGCACCTCTTTAAACGTCACCAGGGTGCAGAATTCAGTAAATGAGCCCCGTAAGACGTGCGTCCGTAGATGATGTCTGCAGCAATGACTTTCCAACATCTCAACAGTCTGCATTCTCAAGGCAGATTTTAATCTAGGACTATACCATTTTCCAGTTCGCGAAGCTGTCAGAGGATAGCAATGTGTTCATGATTCCTCGATCGTCTTGAAAAGCGTAAACATTTCTTCTATGACATTTGGTTCCTTGCAAAAGCCCATATTCACCTTTCAGGTTATATCAACTCCACAAATGCTGTCTATTTGGGCAACCTCACCCTCCCCCCCCCCCAAATTGTCTCTAGAAACAGCTTCATACTGTAAAGTGTACAGTGTGTGCGGCTTTGAGTACTCACGGTTGAGTGATGATTGGATTTGGCCACCACTGAATTTTACGAACGCCACGTTAAAACGTGTCGAGTCTAAAGGAGGACATAGACCCTTGGGTTTCGGAATTCCAGAATTTAAAACACACTTTTTAAAACTCTGTAGGAGAAAAGAACACTGTTTAGGGGTTACAGGGATGGAAAGATTCGATTTAAAAAATAAAAGGAAAGTAAAACACAAACCAATCATTTCATGACTCTCCTTACAAGATCTTTTAGATTGGTACTTTTTGCATTTATAACTGGTTTATATGAGAGCCATTTTCGTGTTCGAAAATAAGTTTCTTCTTTGTAAACTTTATGTCAAACAAATTCCTTTTGAATGAATTATATCTGTTCCAAATTGCAATTCTCTAGTACACATTTTGTGCGAGATATTCAGAAAAAAGGTTGTACAGTTTTTTGTGGATCACCCTGTATATTAGATTAATCTTCTATTCGGCTTTCGTGGTTGTACACTCCAGAATTTCAAAGGTGTGGTCAGTGCGCACTGCATGTGAACGGAAGTCTCACATGTTTGCAATGGCGTCTTAGAGTCGTCTTAGAAGACGGACTTTGCCTAGATTAGCTCTAAACGAAAGTAATGAAAAACTGAAAATTGAACTACAGTGACTTCAGACCCCTTTATATAATTGTGCTGCCTTTAAATGATTCTCAACCACTTCAAATTCGAAAGTTATGTGGTTCGGAAGATTTAAGAGACCAAAGTGACGAACTTTCACATATAATACACACACACACACACACACACACACACACACACACACACACACACACACACACACACACACACACACACACACACACACACACACACACACACACACACACACACACACACACATATATATATATATATATATATATATATATATATAAAGAGAGAGAGAGAGAGAGAGAGAGAGAGAGAGAGAGAGAGAGAGAGAGAGAGGGAGAGAGAGATAGATCGATAGATAGATCGATAGATAGATAGATAGATAGATAGATAGATAGATAGATAGATAGATAGATAGATAGATAGATAGATAGATAGATAGATAGATAGATAGATAAAGAAAACGCAAAGGGGGAGAGGGAGGCGGTTGTTTGTACAGGCGAGTGTTTTTGAACAGGTGGACGTTAGTCCAAGTTTGACTGAATGTGTAAGGAAGCTTGGAAGATGTGCGACTAGGTATTTAGCAAAAGGAAAAGGTACTAAATATTTTGAATTGGAAAAACGGTTAAAAAATTTTTAATCTAGGAAACCCTTATATCTATATAGCTCAAGAAGGAACACGTTTTGAAATGTTCCTTAAACATATTATTTGAAAAACAGAATATCTAGGTATCACGTTTGAAGTATTTTCAAACTTAGTCAGTTTCTGCAACATAGCGCAAGTGCAAGGAATGGGTACCTACGATCAGCTGCAACACACACACACACACACACACACATACACACACACACACATACACACACACACGCACACACACACACACACATACACACTCACACACACATACACACATTGTCACGTTCTTCATGCTTTGCTTTAATCAGGAGAAGTACCAAAACGTAAATGGGAAAATCATAATTGTTTATAATACCACTTACGTTTTCTGTTAATGTACTCTTATTATGCTTTCTTCCTCCCTCCAAATAACGCTCATTTTTACCCCTAATGCCCTCATCAGTCTACCCACTCTAAATCTTTGGTTTCTCTAAAATTATTGTCAGTGGAGGCTCCAAGCTATTTGCGTGGTAATCATTTCACAATGGCGTCAGTTAAAAGGAAGCTCAGGTTCAGTGATATAGGAGCTGGCATGTCCATCTCGTGAGACCCGTGTTGTCTTGTTCAAGCTCCATTTTTGTACTTAGGTAAACCTTTGGCATACAGAATCTACGGGGTAAAAAAATATTTCATTTTAACCCCCCAAATTCACAGTTAATGCCCTTGTTTCTTTGTACTTTCCTTTCTTTTACGTTTAGTCCTGTTTTAGTATTTTAAAACTCAGTTCTATCTTGTACTATCTCCAAAATAACCAATCAAATTAAAAAAACGAACGTTTTAATTTTGCACTTCCTGGTATCTCCTTCAAAGAACTCACCGTCCAACGAAGTGCTTTAAATTGGAGAAATTGCAGCACATCACTGAAAGGAAGCATACTTAATCACAGCAATTTATTCTCAAGGGGAGACATAACAGCATAGCACTGAGTGGTGGTCCTTAAAAAGTGTGAAAATTTATCTCTCCTAGCCTTGTTTTTCCGTTTATTTCTAGAGCTAAACGTAGTTTAAGATATGATCTGTTTGTAGTTTTTATGTCTACTCTCCTTCGCAAAAAGTACTTAACGTCACGTGTTTGGTCTTGGAAAAAGTGGCATGCTAACATTCAAAGTCACTTTTCTCTAAAATGGAAAAATGGACTGGGATCACGAGCTATCAGTTTAGCTATAGTTAGCTGTCGAGCTCCCTTCTCCCATTTCATGTTGAGCTTCCAGTTAAGGGACACAGCGTCGTGAGGGCGTATATATTCCTCCCTGGTCAGTGTTTGTTTACAAGTAGTGACACGACGTAGACAATAATAGCATGTTCTGATAATAACATGTCCGTGTTGTCAAACTCTCGAAAGTTTTTTTTAAACCTAATCAGGATCTATTAAAAGTAACGTGCCACTGAGCTTGGTGAGTACTGAGCTCAGCGGGCGATTGGCATGTGGTGCTACGGCAGAATGGTCATAATTAGCTGGAAAGTAAAAAGACAAACAATGAGAAGTGTCAGATTCTCCACCCAAGACAAATCCTGCTATGTGACTATGTAAAAACAAGATCTGACACAGCAACAAGACAAAGTAACTAAGAAGGTACTGTATAATGGGGAGCAATGTACATCGACCTTTTCAGCCATTGCCCACAAGTATAAGAGCACTAGAATGAAAATGTGATCTTCTCCATTTACCAATCTCAAAACATGCTTGTAAAGAATACACCCCTCCTTATAAAAAAAATGAACAAAGCAAAAAAACCCAAACAAACAAAGCAAAACAACCCAAAAGACAAACGTTTGAATGAAAAACAATTGAATTTTGGCGTTTTTACACCCTCCATCAATACAAT